CGACGGTTATGAAATATTATAATATAAAATGATTTTCAACAGCATCTCTTTACGAGTTTATTTGGAACTATTCTTAAACAAATGAAATTTTCATAGGAGACTATTGAAACGACATTTTCACTCATTTGGAGCACTATATTCAGAGAAGCTTACAGACAAACTATTGCAAAATTATAACTAAAATATTTCGCACAAAAATAGACCCTAAAATATATCCAATTTAGACTATTATTTGAAAAACAAGGTAGAAATTCGATAGAAAATTCGATCGTTTATTGAGACCTTGAATGGAAATATTTAGCCGAGAGCTGTGCATATAAAATTAGCGTTTGATGCATTCCAAATTCTTCAAAAATTATTTTACAATCAGAAAGTGGACTCTCGTGATTTCTCTGGAATGGCTGTGAGTCATCATCTTTGTATACGTTTTTCTCTTTTCTTTAATAAAGTGTTTTATGTCTGATTTTGAGAAGTGGTCATTGGGGTCAGCTGTCCATCGGTCACTGACAGTGTTATTCTGGGCGACAATGCTGAGGTGTGGCGTCACTTCCGACACATGGTGACGCTATTTCCTTCACTCAAAAATAAAATAACTCCAGCCATCCGTGAAGTTCTGTCGGAGGAATGGTAATCGATTCTTTTTAATCAAATTTCGGAGAAGAAAAAAGACATTTTTTGAAAAGGAATATTTTTAAAAGATAGTTTTCATCTAACGAATAGTTTATAATGATAATAAATGGAATTGAAAGGAAACCAATGAAGGTGATAGTAATGCAATTAAGTACATTTTCAATGATCTTTTTTACTTTAACACCAACAATAGGGCTTCAAAACTGGTGATTTAAACTAAACTGACTGTTCTGAAGTAAAATAATAAAAAATTATAAATATTTACTAAAAGTTATTTTTTGCATGAACTTGTCTTTCGATAAACGAATTCTATAAGTGTGTGCAAAATTTTTTCCATTTGGTTAAAAAGTTTTCGAGATATGGAGAAATATGGTAAAATTAATGTTTAGGGACTTTGAATCGCTCTTCCGATTAAACTATAGGGAAGAATATTGCGGCTATTCCCTGTAATTTCCAGATTGCGGCTATTCCCTGTAATTTGGGGGTCGAAAATCTGAATCTGTCGTAAAAAAGGTATGTTTGCTTAAAGAAACTTCGTTTTTGAGTCTGATTTCGTAACTTAAAATATCCTCAGCATTTCTTAATTACCATATTTTAGGTCACCTCATCAATCCATTAAGATTGAGTCCCAAAATGTAAAGAACCGATCCTTAGATCAAAAGTTAATCGGGGTATTTTTTTTTTTTGGCGCATGGTACTTTTGCAAGCAAAGACAGGTTAAACAAAGTAATAACTAAACTCTTGATTATTCGCCAAATGAAGATTACCTTGACGAGGTGAGATGGACGCAACTTCCTCTCTGAAGGATTTACGGGATATAAAACGTAAATTTAATGGAATAATTAATGGGAAAGTTTTTTTCAACACTTAAAGTACTAAAGAAAGGCCGGTTTTGCAACTGAATGAGTTCAAAACTAAAAAGGCCTCAGATTGCTCCCTTCAGGTGATTTGAAGTTGAATTCGTAAACAAAAGATATAATCTTGTACAAGCTTGACATGTTCGGATATCAATCGAAAAGCCTCCAAGCAAATCAAAACGTACACATTTTACTTTTGTTTGAAAATATTACTAAGTTTGAAATACTATAAAATATTTCTAAGTACTAAAATCTTCTGAATTTTTCAAAATCAAAACCGTTTGAAAATATTACTAATTTTGATATACCATGAAATATTTCTAAGTACAAAAATCTTCTGAATAAGTCAAAACCGTTTGAAAATATTTCTAAGTTTGAAATACCATGAAATATTTCTAAGTACGAAAATCTTCTGAATTTTTCAAAGTCAAAACCGTTTGAAAATATTACTAAATTTGAAATACCATGAAATATTTCTAAGTGGAAAAAGCTTCAGAATTTTTCGAAGTCCAAAACATTTTGAAAATATTTCAAAGTCAAAAAAAAAATCTTTTTTGAAATTCGAACACACGATCATCAAAAGACATGAAGAAAAAAACAATTGTGAAATTCGCACACACGATTAACGGAAGACTTATAAAGAAAGAAAAAAATTTAGAAATTCGCACACACGATCAACGAAAGACATGAAGAAAAAAAAAATTTGTGAAATTTGCACACACGATCAACGGAAGACTTATGAAGACGGAAAAAAAAATTTAGAAATTCGCACACACGACCAACGAAAGACATGCAGAAAAAAAATTTGTGAAATTCGCACACACGATCAACGAAAGACATGCAGAAAAAAAAATTTGTGAAATTCGCACACACGATCAGCGAAAGACATGCAGAAAAAAAACATTTGTGAAATTCGCACACACGATCAACGGAAGACTTATGAAGAAAGAAAAAAAAATTTAGAAATTCGCACACACGATCAAAAGGAAAGACATGAAGAAGAAAAAATTTGTGAAATTCGCACACACGATCAACGGAAGACTTAGGAAGAAAGAAAAAAAAATTTGAAATTCGCACTCACGATCAAGGAAAGACAGGAAGAAAAAGAAACAATTGAGAAATTCGCACACACGATCAAATAAGACATGAATTAAAATTATCTTCAATTGCTTTTTTTTATTTAATTATTATTCATTTAATTTTTTATTTATTTTTTTTGCAATTTTGTATCAAACTTATGTATGATAGCAAAATTATATTTTAATTTTTGCTTACTAACTTCGTAATATTTTATTACTTAAAAACGGCTCAAGGCAAAAAGTATGAGAAAAAGTAACGCTGTTAAATTTCATGATTTGATGGGACATTTTTCTCTTGACAGGACTGTCAACAAAATCAAAGAACTTTTTTGGTTTCCCTACATGAAGCGTTATTTAAGGAAACACATGTCCATGTGTTTTGAATGTCTAGTGAATAAAATTCCTGGAGGAAAGCAACAGGGACATTTACATCCAATTAAGCCAGGAAAAAGACCTTTCTCAATCATACACATGGACCATTTAGGCCCATTTGTGAAGAGTTCTAGAGGAAGTCAAGATTTGCTCGTTATCGTAGATAATTTTACAAGATTTACCAGACTTTCTCCAGTCAAAAACACCTCTTCTCAACACGATTTAAAAGTTCTGGAGAATTTCGTTCAGGATTTTGGACTGCCTGATCGGATTATTAGTGACAGAGGTTCATACTATACGTCACATCATTTTGAACAATACTGTCACGACAATACGACAATGGAATAAATCACACATTGAATTCCACCCAACATCCCATGGGTAATGGAATGGTAGAACGGGCTAATAGAACAATTCTATCCACAATAAAAACATCGATGAGTGATCCACGTCATAAAGATTGGGATTTACGAATCAAAGAAACTGAAAGAAATTTAAACAACACTATCAATAAAACTACTGATAAAACGCCTTTTGAAATCTTGCATGGATATTCTCCAAGATTCACTGATGGTATCCTTCGAAAACTTGCCGACGAGAGTGCGGACAAATGGACTGATTCCAAGGAACTTCAAGAAGAAGCAACCAGTGTGATTGAAAAGAAACAACGTAAAATGAAGGAATACTACTATAAGAAAAAGTGTAGAACCATGACTTTTGAACCGGGAGAAATAGTGGCTCTCCGACGTCAGCAAAAGCAACAGGAGAACCAACAAAGACTCAACCAAAGTACAGAGGTCCTCTACTTGTGACTGAAGTCCTCCTTAACGATACGTACAGAGTGACCCAAATGGAAAAAAAAGTGGGAAATAGGTACTACGCAACAACGTCCCACGTGAGTCAACTAAAGGCATGGCGACCACCAGTACACGATGATGATGATGAGGTCTCAGGTAACTTATAAATTGGTAAAAAAAATATATATTCTTATACTTATGCGCTTATACTTATAAAAGTTCATATATGAACTTTTGTTTTGTTTCCGCAGATTGAAAAAATGCGCCATCATATTATTGCATCATATCTTTTGCAGTATTTCACATGTACCCAAANTATTTTCTAATTAGGCTAACTTAAAAAGATATTTTTGGCAACATTTTATTCAAATGTAGCCAAATAAGGGATAAAATACAAAACATGGCAAACCTTAAGAATTATTCACAATGAGATATTAACTTTCCAAAATTTTTTTTGGCCTTACGACCTCTGAGAATCAATACATTTCTGAAAGCTCTTATGAATGGTACAATTATGTTTAGATTTGAACCCAAATTACAATAACAAAACTGCATAGAATATTAGGCTTGTTCACACATCGCCTCGTAGTCATAACATAAGCGGAGGGATACACCGGAAATTTTCTAAATTTCTTCCGGTTTAAGGACGCTTGTTATTGTTTATATTAGACCACCCATCCATACAACTGAAAAGAGGAGGAGAGGAAAGGGAGAAGGGCTGTATGAAACTGGTCTCTCCCCAGATGGCGTATTCGATTCGAGTGTTCTCTTGAGAATATTCCAAGATTTTTTTTTTTTTAATTTTTGAGGTTCCATCTTATAAAAATGAGTTTTTTGATAGAAAAATTACTAAACGTTTGAAACGTTGACAGAGCTGGCTTGAATTTTTTTTTTTAGTGGATCACTGGTTGAAAATTTAAAAAAAAAAAAAAAAAAAAAAAAAAAAAAAAAAGGAATACACGTGTCTTTTGATAAAATGAACACTTGAAAATTTAAATGCTACGTGTAGGTAGACTGTGTGCCTCTCGTAGATGCAATGGGTACTCGTTTGTGCGTGATTCATATTTGCTTTTAGTGGGAATTTTCCAATGATGGAAGTTTCAAAAAACACTGTTGAAATGTAGCAGATTTATAAAAAAAAAATTTTTTTGCGTTTTTGTTTACGTTTGTTCTTTTTTTTTTTTCTTTTTTTTTTTAAGGGGTCAAAGCTCTNTTTTTTTTGAAGGGGTCAAAGCTCTCATGCATTTTTTAGAGTGACCTGTAACAAAACCGATTCAATTTTTTTTATCACACCACATTACGAACTCAGACTTAGAGACGGTTTTAAACTTATTGAATTGCCCTCAACCGTAACGCTTCAGATCAGGGATACAAACAGATCTTAAATTTCGAGTATTATTTCAATGATGTTTCAACAGCAATAAGAAATAATTTTTTGAAAGTATTAATTCATTTTATAGAATATATGTACTAGACTTAAAATTTTCATTGTAATTGTGATTTTTTGGACTTGATTTTCACCATCAATATGTGATGGTAGGTAGTTTACTATGTGATGCAGGTAGTTTTCTATGTGACGGTAGCTTTTTTTTTCCTTTACACTCAATAAAATATACCCTTTTTTTTCTTTTAAAGTATTGTGAATTGAAAAAAAACAACAATTTTCAAATTAGGCCGTTTTTTGTATTGTGCTTTGCGCAAAATGTAATTACAAGCAGATGTCTTACTTTATTTACTAATTAATCACACTGCTCGATTTCAGACAATAATGTGAAATTATGTGTTTAACTGTAGAACAGAGCGGTACTGGATATTAAAATTACGAACTCCAATGTGTGGTAAATACAAGGATGCTTTGGTATTAAAATATATTATTAATTGTATTCAAATTAATTGGCAAGTGTTTACGAGGACGACCAGTGGTTCGAGATATTTCCATATCGTGAACTGTCACGCCAACTACAATCTCTATGGCGTAAAATGGATTTAGATTGCAAATTTAAATATATATTCAGAGAGAGGTTTGCCTAAGAATTGCTACAAGTTATACCCTCTGAGTTGGTCGCCTTTAGTATTTTTTTTTTTTAGTTTCTCGTAGGCTGATGCCCAGAAGTTGCCAAGACTTGGTAATAGTTCTACCTCAGATACAGATATCTTCCAAAGTGTCCCTAGCTTCCCTGTATATTCCATTGTTGGTGTTACTACCGTAGACTGTGGTAGCTTTATGTATATTTTTTAACTATGAAAAAAAATTCAAAAGAGTTGATAGATGTCTACATTTCAAACTTGGTGTATTAACCAGTAGTATAAATTTTGGTAAATGATACCTATAAAAATTTCTGAGTCACTAAAATATTTGCCATATTTTAATGACTACTGGGAAGTGGACAGTAAGAAACTAAATATAATAATAGAAGCGTACCAAATCAAAGGATATAGCTTGTAGCTTCACCTGGGCTAACTCCAACAATTTTTTTCAATTTTATAATACCTTTGAAGTATTGGCAATAGTTGTTGGTGCAAACAGATACCAAAGAAGAAATGCCCTCTAGTACTTATCTGTTAAAGGGGGTCCCAAAAATCACCATGTATAAATTGAAAATGTTTTTGCTCAATTAATAGTAATGAGTACTACTCGTATTGAATTAATAAATGTTGTGGTAACATGGTGCTTTTTAAAAAGTGCTTAAATGTGCTTGTTTTCGTTTTTTAAATGCCCTTAAAGGTGCTTTTTCAGGGTTCCCACGGTCCTTAAAAACTGCTTAATTTTTATTTTGGAATATAAGGGCCCTTTAAAGTGCAAGGTTTTTAAAAGTCCTTAATTTTTCAGCATCACTATAGGAACAATTTTTCAGTTCAATTTTTTTAAACGAAATACCGTTCTTTTATCACCTAGAATTGGACCATGCATAGAGGGCATGCATCATTTTAGAGAGACAAAAATGAATGTGTTTGAGGGGAAGACAGCTTGTCCTTTTATTAATATGTTGGTTCTTTCATAATGCTTTTTCAAAGGGGGGGGGAGGGCAATTTTAAGGTTCCTAAGTTGAAGACCCACACTAGCCTTCAAAATTGACAGAATTCAAGAAATTCAGTTCTACAGGTCATCTGCTTATAGGAATTAAGTAAAACCCTAAGAAAAGAAGTATCAGAAATATTTTTTGAACTAGAATCCATAACAAAATCTATATCCTAAAATCTTGAAGAATTTAATTAATTTGTGTAATATTTCAATGTGTAATAAGTAACTAAATTTATTGAAAGCAGTGACATTTTTGTAAAATTCCTGATTATACTAAAAATTAAATAGATCTGTGATAAACAGGGTTTGAAAAATCCCACCCCACCTATGTTTTTCATCAAAAACCTGGGTTTTTGACAAAAAACCTCAAATTTTTTCAAAAATACTTTTCCTGAGTACTAAATAAGAATGCATGATTTGCTTCTAACAAGAAAATTAAATATTTATTTATTTATAACTTGTTTAGTTGCAATGTAAATTTTTTTTAAAAGTTTTATATTGTTACACTATTATTTTTGTTTCTTAAGGATAAGCAGATAGTTACATAATATTTAAATCTACTCAATTAAAAGATCCTTAGATATTAATAAAATCTTTATTCAGTTAACATTGTAACTTAATGTACTGTTCTTACTTAATGTACTGTACTTAATGGTCAAATGTAATTGTATTTTTATTCTATATAAATTTTCATAAAAATATTTATTGCAATGAATTTAAAAAATATATTGAGTTAAGCCTTATGAAAAAAGTGTGGAATGATTTAAGGTGCTTAGATATTAGTATCACCTGTTTTTACTCAAAATGGGACTTAATTTTACATTGCACAGTTAAGAAAACTATTCTCAAGCATAACTCTAATTCAACTTTTCAGTATTAATTATTTTAAGATATACCTTTATAAATAAAACATTTTATTAATAGAAAAGGAAGAATTATTTATAGCGTAACTGAATATTTAGCAAGATTGGCCTACAAATGAATATGCAATGCAGGTCTAGTAGTGAGATGTAAAAACTTGTAATAACTAAAACTTTTTGCCAAATTTCTTTATTTACTCTTTTTTTTTTTTAAATATACATGAAAAAAATTGCAAATCTTAATTTCTGGACAAAATTTTACAATTCAATTTCAATGAAATCATTAAAAATTGAATATGGATAAGTTTCATAGATGATGTTAACCTTTAACGATCTGAATATGCTTTTTAAAAGAAGTCCAACCCGAGTTTGCAGAAATTGCCCGGTACTTTGGCGAGCCCTGTTAATGAATGCAATTATATCAATGCTTACATTATGATAAAAATGTTTATTTTAGTTATTTATTTTTTTTAAGAAATGTAAATAATTGGCACTGTCACTGGTAGATATATGATGATTAACCATCATTCTATTTTTAAAGTCCTTAATTTTTTAAAGAAGTCCTTAATTGTTTCAAGAAAAGGTCCTTAAAAGTGCTTAATTTTTGCGTTGTTAAATGAGTGGAAACTCTGTTTTTTCATTGGGTGCTTTTAAAATGTACTTAATTTTCCCTTTTTGATTTTCACCATGTATTATGTAAAAGCGTGCTTTTCACATTGTTCTATTAAACGTTTTTACAATTAATTCAGCCATAATCCGTTTCCCCGTACCATAAGTCCGTGACATATGATAGCGCCAATCATTTTACATGTTTGATCAGGGTTGCAAGAAACCCGGGTTTTTGTAGAAAAACCCAACTCGGGTGGCTGTTTCTGGGTTTTATTGGGCTTTTCTGGGTTCTATTGGGCTTTTCTGGGTTTTTCATGTTTTCAAGGGGGCTTTTTCAAAAGAGAGGGCAGGGATAAGTATCTTATTTTAAAAAAGCTTATTTTAATATTAAGTTTAATTTTATAAATTGACTTCATATAGATAATTAATACAAATAAATTGATGTGAAAGTCTGAAAAAAGTTTCTTCTGACATCACGATAGAAAATGTTAAATGTACTCACACACATCACACATTTCAAACTTATTTTAACACAGGATTACTTTTTACTTATATTTTAATCTTAAAAAATATTTGAAGAACATTCTTTATTTGCATAGAAAGCGAATAAATGGCACTGAATAATCAAAGGCCGTACAGTCGAATCAAGTCAGCAAGGTGACTCTCCAGTCTTCAACACAATTAATTTTTTCGCTATAGGTTAAATTTTTTTTAGGCTAGACCACATAAATATTTCAATAGAATAGCTCTTTAATATAACAGAGGATTAAAAAAGAAATCAATCTTAGAAAAACCCACTTTAGGGTGGGTTTTTCAGAGTGGGTTTTACCCAGTAAAACCTAGGCGGGTTTAATTGGGCAGGTGGGTTTTTTGCAACCCTGTGTTTGATGTATTACTTGTGGTTCCGCATGTGTGTCTACTGAGCTGGGTTCGGTGTGATTATTGCACACTCATGTGCAACTCTGCTGCTTTTTGCAAGATATTCTCAATTTCAGGCTTCATTTTCCACCCTCCGATATCGAACCGAAAAATCTCTGGATCATTTTATAATAGCTAATATAATCAACAAAGAGTTCTTTGTCTTAAACTAGTTATTTTATCACGATCATGTAAAATCTTTGAAAATTATTTTGTATTTTGTTTATGTATATAGTACTTAAAAATATTCTTTGAGTACTTAAAAAGTACTTAAAAAAGGTGCTTATTTTTGTTGCTTGTTGTTATTTTGCTTGTTGAAAGATTTGGTTACGCTCCTTGTGTAAAAAGTTTTAATGGCCTCTTATAATAGACAAATTATGTGTGTATATATATGTATACATATATATATATGTATATACCGTTAAAGAAATCAAGATAATAATATATATATATATTTATGAAATTTTAACAAGGCATTTTAATGTAATAAGTCAATCAGGGCTCGAAATGAACGGTGGTCCGTTGGTTCGTGACCACTAAAATCGGAGCCGGACCACCATCCGCCGCAGCCGATCTCCGTTAGGAAAAAAAAAGCTAGCGTGCGAGATTTCCGTAAAAAAAAAAAGAATTAAACAAAATTAATAAAACTAGCGTGCGATCCTGAGGAAGGCGAAGTTAAATCTTGTTTCGCGCATGCGCCACATGGAGAGAAATAGGGGAGGTAGCGGGGTGGGTTCATGATGTCATTGTCAATCGACGACACTGCATGATGATTCGTTATTTCGGGCTCTCTCTTCGTTCCAGATCGTCAGAGGTTTTCTTTCTTCCGGAAATTTATGATTTTTATAAAAAAAATCATGATTTTTTCAATCAAAAATTAAAATTTTTTTTATTTATTTGCAGCTAATAGGAACGCGTTGACGGACCAGTAAAGTTTTGTGCGGACTAGTAAAATGTTTAGTTACTGGTCCTATGGACCAGTAATTTTTTAAAAAAATTTCTACCCCTGTCAATTAAAGAGCCGACATTGATTAGATCTACTGCTGCAGTTACATATTGCTGTATCAGTACTTGTTTTAAAATAAATATACTTAAAAATTAAATACCTACTGAAACTGAATGTACCA